GGTTCCTGAGATGCCCATCTTTATGAGGGTGGACAGGAGGATCTGGTGGTTAACCGTGTCAAAAGCAGCAGACAGAACCAGCAAGATGAGTACTGAGGATTTGCAAGCTGCTTTGGCCAGTCTTAGTTGAGTGGCCGCTTTTGAAGCCAGATTGGTTGTTGTCCAGGAGGTTGTTCTGTGCAAGAAACATAGAGAGTTGGTTGAATACAACTCGTTCAAGTGTCTTTGCAATGAATGGAAGAAGGGATACCAGTCTGTAGTTTTGGATTTACAGAAGGTTTCTTAAGCAGTGGGGTTACTCGAGCCTGCTTAAATGCTGTGGGAAATGTACCAGTGTGAAGAGAGGTGTTGATAATGAGAGTGAGCGCAGGTATAACTGAAGAAGAAATGGCCTGAAGGAGGAGCGTGCGAACAGGTAGTAGGATGATTGGAAAGGATAAGTTTGGAAAGGTCTGCCTCCGAGAGTGGAGAGAAGGAGGAGCGAGAGTGTGTATTTGTTGTTATGATGTGTTGTTCTCTCTGCAGCAATGAGCTTAGAGCAATGTTCACGGAGAACATCGGACAGCCAGGGGGCAGGCTGGTCTGGATAAAAGGGTGCAAAAGTTGTCTAAGCAAGATGTTAGAGTGGAGCAAAGAGTGTCAGTAGCAGTGTAAGTGTCCAGTGCTGAAAACTGAGCAGGTGGAGGAAGTGAGGATGAAACCATAGAGGATAGGCGAGTGGGAGAGAGCGAGCGTAGGTTTCGCCGAAAGGTGACCTGCAGAGGAGTGTGTGTTGTGTCCGGAGTCAGTCTGAGGTTTAAAGTAATGAGGATCTGGTCTGAGGTGTGCAACGGAGTAACTAAAGTGTTGTCAGTGGAGCAGTAGTGTGTGTAGATAAGGTCCAATTGGATTTCTGATTTGTGAGTAGCCATAGTAGACACTCGCTTGAGGTCAAATGAGGAAAGTAGGGTGTTGTTGTTGTTTATCTAGGTGGATGTTGAAGTCACAGAGTAGTACCAGAGGAGTACCATCCTCAGGGAAGTTTGAGAGTAGCGCATCCAACTCCTCCAAGAAGTTACCCAGTTGAACTACGGGACGATAAACAACTACAAAGTGGATTTTAACCGGGTGGGTAATAGTAATTGCTTGTGATTCAAATGATTCAAATGTTTCTCTCTCGCTCATATTTTCTGTGTTTTCGGAGCATGTTTTCCTCGTCTGATCTGAGTCAGCGCGCAGGAATCCTGGACTCCTCATGTTCCCGGAGCTTCAGCTCGGGATATTTGCACGTGAGGTTGAGCGCTGGGAGTTATTCGGCCCAGATTCCTGAGCGCTGATCAGTGGCTAATGAAGCAGTCGAAGCACATGGGCGGCAGCAACGGTCTTCCTCATGTTTGTGTGATTGAATCCTCTGGCCGGTTTCCGAGTTCGTCTCTGCGTGTGTTTCTGTCCCATTCAGATTCGCTGCTTGTTGTTTCTTTCTGTTGGCTTTTTATTTTAATTTCTTTCACATTTTCATCCTAAAAGCGCTTTCCGCACATCTGTAGCCGTTTGTGTCTCTGTGTATTTTTACTGGTGATGATTTTAATGTCTGTCATTTATAAACGTCCTGCCGCGATTTAGCTGTGAGCTTCATTTAACGTGATGTTTTCCAGGCATGATGGGACTGGCGTGTGATGGTAATGAACTGAGGATCATTTATTTGACTTCTGGTGGTTTGTGGGAGAGCTGCATCAGTGATTGATGAGTGTGTGAAGGTCATCTGTGTTTCTCGTCACGTGTGTTTTAATTGGCCCGTCGGCACGAGTAAATAAGAGTGACATCATCAGTGGGCATCAGCGTCATGGGTGGGGTGAGTGTTCGAGGTCAGGGGTCAGTGCACACACACACACACACACACTCTCTCTCACACACACACACACACACACACACACTCTCTCTCACACACACACACACACACACTCAGGTTTGTTTTTGTGAAAAGTGGGGACATCCCATAGGCGTAATGGTTTCTCTACTGTACGTACCGTATATTCTATTGCCCTACACCAACCCTACCCCTAAACCTACCCCTCACAGGAAACTTTCTGCTATTTCAGATTTTCAATACACTCCATTATGTGTGATGTATATGCGTTTTGTAAAGTGGGGACATGGGGTAATGTCCTGAAAAGTCACCTTCTCCTTGTAATACCTATGTCATACCCTTGTCATTATACAAATTTATGTCCTCATTTGTCACAAAAACGCACGCATACACACACACACACACACACACACACACACAGAGACACACTCACTCACACAAACACACACACAGAGACACACACACACACACACACATATATACACACACGCACGCACGCACACGCGCACACACACACACATATACACGCACACACACACATAAACACACACACACACACATAAACACAATCACTTACTCACACACAACACATTTAATTAACTACCTTAATGGGGACTTTACATACATCTATTGCTTTTTAAATGGCTTGTTATAGATACTGTAACCCTAAACCTGACCAGGTTTTGTCAGGTTTAACTCACTTCTAGGTTCATATTTGCCATTAGAAAGCGAATCTCCGTATTAAATATGCTTCAGTCTGGATTTATAGCTTGAGCTGGTTTCAAGATTCTTGGAGACGACTGACATGTGACTTTAACAAGATGATTGAAATGAGTTTGAGACATTAATGGGAGAAGCTCACAGAATATGACTGACAGGACGAGATGAGTGACACTTTCACTGCTTGTGTGAGTGTGTGTGTGAGTGTGAGTGTGAGTGTGTGTGTGTGTGTGTGAGT